TTTGAAGATGACTGAAATGTATAAAGGCTTTACCACATTGATTACATTCATAGGGTTTCTCTCCAGTATGAATGTTTTCAAGATATTGAAGACTAGTGAAATATGCGAAGTCTTTTCTACCTTGATTAAGTTTATAGGGTTGTACTTTCACATGAGTTCTTTGGTATAATTGTAAAGATCTAAAGTTTTTATCATGTTGATTATATTCACAGAGATCTTCTTCATTATGGGTTCCTTTGTGTGTTTGAAGATACCTGTGAAGGTTAAAGACTTTAGTAGATAGTTCATATTTATCACTTCCTTTTACCATATGAGCTTTTTCAGAACAGAACTGGAAGAACAAAGAATTTTACCACACTGGCTGCATGCATAACATTTTTCTATACTCTGAGTCATACTACATGTGCGAAGTGAACCAATGTAGACAGAAGAATTCTCACATTCCTTGTACTCATAAGTTTTTTTTTAAAAAAAAAAAAACAACAATGTGAGTTTGTTGAGGTACTCCCAGTGTAGTTGGAAAACAAATGAATTGTAAATTTGTATCACATTCACCAAATCTACTCCTATAGTGGGAACTACTACATATTTAACTATTGGTTACACTGCTTCTTTTCATATCTCTTATTTTCAGGTATCTATAGAACAACAAACAAAAGTCTTTCACATTGCATTCACACAATCTAAGTTTTTGTTCCTCATAGAGAGATGTGGTATAGGGATTAAGGTTTTTCCACCATGACAACCTTCTTGACACTCATCAACTGTTCCTCTCAATAAACTATGGTAAGTCTCTCTGTAAGTATATGGGCAACACTAGCTTTACTATGGACTATATGCATATAAAAGGTCTTGGACAGGGCTGGAGAGATGGCTCAGAGGTTAAGAGCACTGGCTGCTCTTCCAGGGGTCCTGAGTTCACTTCCCAGCAACCACATGGTAGCTCACAACCACTTATAGTAAGATCTGGTGCCTTCTTTTGGCCTGCAGGGAACATTTAGGCAGAACACTACATACATAGTAAATAAATAAATCTTAATAAAAAAAGGTCTTGGCTACTGGTCCCCCTAATTAAGGGACTCCTATATGATACTTACATGGTATGAAACAAAAAGGATAAACAGTTCTACAAAATGGATCTCATGGGGCTATATATATAATTAAAAGTGTCATGTGTTAACACATTGTTTCACTGTCTTCTTTCTTAGAGGAATGCCTTGGAAATAGATCATCCTCCTGACACTGAGGTACATTGGTTTGTGAGAATTTAATAATCACCATAAAGCTGTGCTTATTTAGTGTTGTCTTTTCTTAAAGTTTCAGGGAAAACTGAGATTTCTTCAGAGGTACATATATATCAGTTTGCATACAAAAATTACCTTTCATGTCTTCTAGAACTTTGACAATGTTCTTCAATATTCTGGTTTTCCCATTTGCAGCCTAAAATACAGTACCAGAAAATGTATGATATATTACAGCAAACTGCAAAATTTAAGTCACTATCTTTGTTGAACCTGAGAACCATGCCTGATTTATTCATGACATACTTCCTGCAATCCCAGGAAAGCATCAACAATCAAGAAATGCTTGTCCACTTATTGTTAAAAAGTAACAAAAACCCCAGCAGTCTTACCTACAGCAGTGAGGTTCCAGTAGGTCTCCAGCATCACATCTTTGTACAGACTCTTCTGGGAAGGATCCAGCAAAGTCCACTCTTCATGCGTGAAGTTCACGTGCACATCCTCATAGGTCACTGCATCCTAAAGTATCCCACATATATACAAAATAGAAATGATGAGACTGCATTGTAAATTGAGAATCTATTTACATGAGTCTGTATGATCCATACACTTATTTCATGTCACAGAATTTCAAATGCAGTCACGAAGATGTTTTAGAAGAAAATATAAAAGGAAGATCATGCCTCTCGTTTCTATGCCCGCTGAATAGGTTATAGCATTGCAAGAGAAATGACTATTAGCAGATATACAGAGAGACATGCAAACAGTATGATGAGGAAACAACAGCAAAATTGTATCAAAAATCCTAATTTAAACAAGAACGAGCAAGATGCACATGGTGGTGTAAACCTTTAATTCCAAAACTCAGGAGGCAGAGATAGGTGACTCTCTGAGATTTGAGGCCAGCCTGGTCTACAGAGCAAGTTCCAGGATAGTCAAAGCTGTTATATAGTGAGATTCTGTCTGAAAAAAAAAAAAACAACCCAAAAACAACAACAACAAAAATTTAAAAAAGCAATCTAATGTGCGTTGGCTAGTTTTATGCCAACTTGATACAAGTCAAAGTTATCTGAGAGGAGGAAATCAACTGAGGAAATGCCTCAATATGATTGAGCTGTAGGCAAGCCTGTAGGGCATTTTCTACTTTTTAATGTTTTTTTAATTAGAATTTCTTTAAAAAAATATCAATCCAAATTCCCACTCCCTCCCCTCCTCCCATTCCCTCCACACACCCTCCCACCCACCCCTCTCTAATCCTAAGAGAGTATAAGGCACTTTGCTTTGTGGAAGGTCCAAGACCCTCCCTATTACATCTAGTCTGAGCAAGGTATACATCCCAAAAAGGATCCCCAAAAAAATAGGATCCCAAAAAGCCTGTACATGCAGTAGAGAAAAATCCTGGTGCCACTGACAGTGGTCCCTCAGTCTACCCCAGCCATGCAACTGTCAGCCACATTCAGAGGAACTAATTTGGTCCTATGCTTGTTCCTTTCCAGTCCAGTGGAGAGTTTCAATTAGCTCAGGTAGACTGTTTCAGTGGATGAACCCTTCATGATCTTGACCTCTATGGTCATATTCTCATTCCTTCTACTCTTCAACTGGACCTTGGGAGCTTAGTCCAGTGCTCTGATGTGAGTCTCTGCCTCTGTTTCCATCTGTTGTTGGATGAAGGTTCTAGGGTGATATTTAAGATATTCATCAGTCTGACTGCAAGTCAAGGCCAGTTCAGGCACCCTCTCCTCTATTGCTTAGGGTCTTAGCTGGGGTCATCTGTGTGGATTCCTGGGACTTTTTCTAGAGCCAGGTTTCTTGTTAACCCCATAAGGGCTCCCTCAATCAAAGATATCTCTTTCCTTGCTCTCATATCCGTCCTTCCTCCATCTCGACTATCCAATTCCCCCAAGCTCTCCTCAACCCTCCCCTTCTTCCCTCCTCTTTCTCTTCTACCCTCCCCTTCCTTCTATCCCCAACACCCATGCTCCCACTTTTGTCAGGAGATCTTGTCAGTGTCCAATTTCCAGGTGGGTCTATATACGTTTTTCTTCGGGTTCACCTTATTACTTAGCTTCTCTAGGATCATGAACTATAGGCTCAGTGTCCTTTGTATAAAAGTGGATACACTTATGAGTGAGTACATACCATATTGATTTTTTTGGGTCTTGGTTACCTCATTCAGAATAGTGTTTTCTAATTTCATCCATTTGCATGCAAAATTGAAGATGTCATTGTTTTTTACCACTGAGTAGCATTCTAATGTGCAAATGTACCATACTTTCTTTATTCATTCTTCAGTTGAGGGGCATCTAGGTTACTTCCAGGGTCTGGCTATTACAAATAATGCTGCTATGAACATAGTTGAACAAATGCTTTTGTAGTATGATTGAACATCTTTTGGGTATATTCCCAAGAATGGTATTGCTGGATCCTGAGGTAGGTTGATTCCCAATTTTCTGAGAAACTGCCATACTGACTTCCACAATAGCCACAAATAACATAAAATATCTTGGGGTAACACTAACCAAGGAAGTGAAAGACCTATTTGAAAAGAACTTTAAGTCATTAAAGAAAGAAATTAAAAGAGATACCAGAAAATGGAAAAGTCTCCCATGCTCTTGGATAGAAGAACCAACATAGTAAAAATGGCAATCCTACCAAAAGCAAATCTATAGATTCAATGCAATCCCCATCAAAATCCCAACATCACAGACCTTGAAAGAACAACAACTAACTTCATATGGAAAAACAAAAAACCCAGGATAGCCAAAACAATCCTGTAGAATAAAGGAACTGCCAGAGGCATTACCATTCCTGACATCAAGCTCTATTACAGATCTACAATAGTGAAAACAGCGACATTGACCAATGGAATTGGATTGAAGACCCAGATATTAATCCATACATCCATGAACACCTGATTTTTGACAAAGAAGCTAAAATTATACAACGGAAGAAAGAAAGCATCTTTAATAAAGGGTGCTGGCATACTGGATATCAACCTGTAGAAGAATGAAAATAGGTCCATATCTATCATTATGTACAAAATTCACGACTAAATGGATTAAAGAACTCAATATAACTCCGACTACACTGAACTTGATAGATGAGAGAGTGGGAAGTAGCCTTCAATGCATGGGCACAGGAGAACACTTCCTAAATATAACCCCAGTAGCACAGACACTAAAATCAACAATAAATAAATGGGACCTCCTGAAACTGAGAAGCTTCTGTAAAGCAAAGGACACAGTCAATAAGACAAAAAGGCAGCCTATTGAGTGGGAAAAGATCTTCACCAACCCCACATCAGACAGATGTCTGATCTCCAAAATATATGAAGAACTCAAGAAATTAGACATTAAAATTCTAAATAACTCAATTCAAAAATGGAGTACTGAACTAAACAGAGAATTCTCAACAGAAGAATTTCAAATGGCCAAAAGATACTTCCGGAAAATGCTATCAGGGAAATGCAAATCAAAACAACTCTGAGATACCATCTTACACCTGTCAGAATGGCTAAGATCAAACACACTAATGATAGCTTATGATAGAGAGGATGTAGAGTAAGGGGAACACTCATCCATTGCTGGTGGAAATGCAAACTTGTGCAACCACTTTAGAAATCCGTAGGGCATTTTCTTAATTACTGGTTATCAGAGAGGGCCCAGTCCACTGTGAGCAGTTCCATCCATGGGCTGGTGGTCCTAGGTTCTACAGAAAGCAGGCTGAGCAAGCCAGTAAGCAGTACCCCTCCATGGGCTCTGCATCAATTCCTGCCTCCAGGTTCCTGACCTGGTTTCCTTTGATGTACATTGATTATAAAGCATAAGCCAAACAAATCCCTTCTTCTGCAACTTCCTTTTTAGTCATGGTGCTTTATCACAGTAATGGAAAACCTAAGGACTAACATTAACATTAACTAACTTCCTAATCCTCTATAATGGTTAGAATTGGAAGGCTTATGTGAATTTGTATTAGCGTAGAGCCAGACTTGGGAGAGTACACACCCAAGAGAATCAAGAGAACAGATGGCAGGGTGCTAGACAACATGCTGCCAGCGAGCAGGCTGCGCTGGGTCTTAACACCTCACCTCACACTACCAACTCCGTCCTGGGACATCCAAAGTTACTTGAGACTTTTCTGGCCCACATTGATTTCCATCTTTGATCTTTGTATCGCCCTATGGATGCCCTGGGAACCCATGCTTTTACATGAATTTTCTGTGCATTGAAAAAAACAAGACATGGAAAATAATATCCTAATATTGTTTCTTTCTCAGTTATTTTAGATATTTTCTGTGTCCTATAGTCTTTAAATTATGAGTTATTAATCCCACATCACACATGATAAATTATATTGTACCTTTTCTAACACAGGCAACTTGACTTATAGAAAGCCATCTCTAAAGGGGAAATTCTGAGTCATGTCATGTTCGACTTCTACTTAGATTGAGAATATGACAGGGATATTTTGAGAAAAATAATAGGGATTGACAGATTGTAAATTTGTAGAGCAAACAGACCCCACTCAATGAATTCAAAACATTGTCGGGGGTGGGGGTGGGGCTGGAGAGATGGTTCAGTGGTTAAGAGCATTGCCTGCTCTTCCAAAGGTCCTGAGTTCAATTCCACATGGTGGCTCACAACCATCTGTAATGAGGTCTGGTGCCCTCTTCTGGCCTGCAGACATAGACACAGACAGAATATTGTATACATAATAATAATAATAATAATAATAATAATAATAATACATTGTCAGGTCTACCAAAAAGGTCAATCCAGGTTTTAAAGGGAACCAGTTTGTCAAGCAAGGCTTTGACTTATCCTCATATTGATGGACAAGTAGTACAAAAAAGGTTACAGGAGTCTGAGAGTTCTCTCAAGTCCATGTGACACCAGAGGATCAGCTGCACAACTGGCCTTGACAGGAGAGAAAAAATTACTTTTGGTCACGCATAGTCTTCAGCACTCAGCAGGAAATTTTAACCAAAAACTAAAATACTTGGTAACAACTCAAGGGATCATACTCCACAGATATTAAGTCTAAGTCTACAGGAGATAGTACTTAGACAAATATATCTCACTAATATATATATATTTATAAAAAGATGTTTCTCAGATATACGACATCAGACTTTGGCTCACTGAAGCACAGCTAATGGAGACCAGTCAGTACTGTTTTACCATAAACACGAAATGATGGTAAATATCTCTTCTCTCCCTATTTAGAAGCCATATGAGAAGGGCGCCATGTTGACTTTTAGCTCATGCCGCAGCTGTTAAAGGAATGAAAGCTAATGGCGAGTTCACTGTCCTGGAGATTAACCTTAGCGACATAAGAAAACCAGGAAGGACAGCCTGGGCATTTTAATCCCTTTAAAACACCAGTCAAGGACCCACTTTCCTATCTACATCTGACAGATGGGTCTTATAAAGAGGACCTCTGGTGTAGTGTCCAGTTACTGCCACCTGACACCCCAAATAGCTGGAAGAAGCCAGGTCAGTTGTTGCTCCAATCCCGGTACGGGCACTTCTTCAGAGAGGTAGAGATACAAAAAAGAGGTAGAAATTGGCTAGGCCACGTAGGGTAAAAAGTCTTCAAACAACAGAATCAGTGTGTTCTTGACAGAGGGGTCATTGAAACCCTTAGCAGTTTTGTCCTTATCAGAGGTCAACAAAGCCAACAGCGTTTGGGAGTTCTGGATTTCTGAGCTAAGTGATTCTAGGGACTTTATGAAGGAGTAAAATTAGAAGTAGTGGTGAAGGCCTGCTAATGGATAAGGTCCTATGACACAGAGAACAGAAGCTCTGGCCTGCATAAAGGTCTAAAATTAAATGAGGACGGGCTAATGCCTCCACCTAGAAACCAACCCTAAAAAGCAGGGAGACTCACCTTAAGCCATACCAATAAAATAGATGCAATAATTAATTCTATGTGCTAGGTGCTTGTCTTGGTATTGTTCAATCAAATAATACCAAACAGGGACAGTGGACTGGTGAGATGGCTCAGCCTTTAAATGCTAGGCTCACAACCAAAAATTAAACTGGTATACTCCTTTCCTATTGCAATTTCTTATTCAAATATAGGACAGAGTGCAAACAACTTAGAGTTTGAAGAAAAGGGTGTTTTTAAAAAACATAGGTAGGGGACTGAAGAGACTGACAGTAGTTGAGAGAACTGGCTGCTCTTCCTGAGGACCCAGGTTCAATTCCCAGCACCCACAAGGCAGCTCATAGTTGTTTGTAACTCTAGTTCCAGGGGCCTGACACCAATGCATATAAAATAAACTTAAATAAATTAAAAATAATAGGTCAAATTCAAATAGGATCACCAAAACAAAAGAAGGCTAAGACTTTGAAGGCAAGGAGGGGTTTATGGAGGGCTGGGAGCAAGGAAAGGGAAAGGCCAGATGATGGAAATATAACTTCACAAAATTATTTTAAAGCTTCTAAACCAGCACATGGGCCCATGTGCTGAAGGGACTGACAATCTATGATGGAACACACCAAAGATACCTTAACTGATAAATGTCCTGATAAATGTTCATTACCACAGACCAGGCAATCAAGAATTTGGATAGAGAAGTGAATTTCCTTCTAGAAACCAAATTACCATAGTTACACTAGTTCAACCAGAGCAGAAGAGCTGGACAAATTTGTGTGGTCCTGCCTAACTGGCCTGTGATTTTTCCGGCTTAACAATCACGTAAAATTGATGATAGAACTACTCACAGTTAATTCACACTGCAGACAAAACCGGAATCCTTTCAACCTCCTTCCTGCCACCTCCATTTCTCTGCTGTGACTATACCAGCTTGCCCGTTGACAATGGACTCAGATTCTTACAGGTTCCTCTGCATTAGCAAATCCCTAATAAAAGTCTGGGTGCTATGAGGACACTCATTCCCTTGTCTTTTTCCTTCTCACTGACCTGCATACCTGTATTCCCAGTACTGGGTGGCAGAGGCAGGTTTAGATGTTCAAGGCAGGTCTCAATGGCATAGTATCAGGCAAGCCTGGGCTACATGGCACCTTGCTCTTAAAATGAATGAATAACCAATTGAGAAACATCAAATGAAGTTCTTATTTCTTTCTTGTTTTGAAGTTTTTAGAGAGGGGTTTCACTGTGTATCCCTGGCTGTGATGCTACTTGCTCTGTAGACCTGGCTGGTCTCAAACTCACAGAGATCTGCCTGCCTCTGCCTCCTGAGTGCTGGGATTAAAGGCCTGCAGTGCCACCACCAGGAATAAAGTTCTTGATAACTGGAGAACAGAAGTGATACTGTGGTGGTTTGAATGCGAATGGCCTCCACATGCCTTTATGACTGAATACTCAGTCATCAGAGAATGGCACTGTTTGAGAGGGATTAGGAGGTGTGGCTAATCCCTCCTAATAGGCGTGAGCTTGTTGGGGGAAGTGTCTCATTGCAGGTGGACTTTGAGGTTTCAAGGGCCCAAGCATGGCCCAGTGGCCTTCTTGCTGCCTGTGGATCCAATGTAGAACTCTCAAGTACTTTCTCCAGGACCATGTCTGCCTGCCTGTCACCATGTTCCTCGCCACGGTGACAATAAACTAAACCTTTGAAACTATAAGCCAGGCCCAATTAAATGTTTTCCTTTACAACACTTGCCATGGCCAAGGTGTCTCTTCATAGCAACAGAACACTAACATAGATACCAACAGCCAGGGTGTAAAAGACTTAAAAATAAGCTGAAAGAACACTTACCTATACTGACTGAACTAGAGCAGGTCCTTTCCTGGTGGAGGAAATGTCATTACTGCATGTATGACCTTTTCTGTGTAAAATGTTAGCTGCTGAGCGCTGTATGCTGACACACAAGCCACAGGCAAACGCCTGTGTCTCAGTCCTCTGCCACGTTTGTACGTACCAACGTGAGAGAGTCGCCCATTGGAAACTTCAGAGGCTGGAGGTAAGCTCCCCAGTGTGTACACCCAGTAATTTGGTTTGCACTCATCATATGCTGTGAATGAACACGGGGAAAGTACACTGAAGTTCACTCACCCTGTGAACTCCTCCAACAGCGGCCCCTGCAGCTCACTGTCTTAAATGTTCTCCATGGAGAAGCCATGCTCCAAATACAAACAATTTTCCTGTTACTGAAATGGACAGCCCGCCCTGTGAGCCAGATGGGTAGATTTAGCACTGTGTGGTGCTACAAACTTTTAATCCAAGAACTGAGCAGCGGATTCAGGGGGACAGCAACGTTAATGGACATTGGGATCCAGACAACCATGGAGCACACTGAGACCTTAATAAAGAAAAATCTCTTCAATAGTAAGTCTCCAGCTCTGGCTGACACCCTAAGAGGATGGGTCCAGGAACAAACAGATCTGCTAACTCACATACACCACAGGCTTATGTACCCCACATGTGCTGTCAACCTGGAGAAATGTTGCTTACTGCCCCCTGCTCAGTTTGCTTCCTTATGCAACTTGGGATCATCTGCCCAGGGTGGCCCCACCCACAGTGGGATGGGTCCTATTGCATCTAACTACTAATCAAAAAACACCCTATAGCTTTGCTACAGGCCAGTCTGACTCTAGCTGACCAAATCTGACCAGCAAACCTACTGCGTCGTCTCCCAAGCCCCAAACACGGATTTTTAAAGCAAACCTCAACTCTCCTGACACTGGCTTTTCAGCATGTACTTGTGCACAGGCACACATCAGATTTTGAAAGTCTGGCAAGTTTAGCACTGGAGAGATGACCCAGCAGTTACCACCACTTCTTGTTCTTTCAGAAGCCCTGGGTCTGGTTCCCACTACTAGCGTAGTGGCACACAATCATCCCTATATCCTGCTGCAGGGGATTGAAGTCTGGCCTTACTGACACACGTGACTGGACCACGCAGTTGTGTTAATGATACAGACTTTACGCCCTGCACAGGACTAACTGCTGACGGATCCTACACCTGAATGTTCAGTGCCAAGTGCGGAACTCCTAGAAGACGCTAGAGGAACCAGGGCTCTGCGAGTTAGCGAATCTGCCTATCCGGGAGACAATGAAAGTGGGGCACGCACGTGCCCTGCATGCTGACGTCACAATAAGGAACTATTTACACAGCATACCCATCTCCGTGTTCTGCGCAGTCGCAGATGGAAGATATTCAGAGTCCACAGGACCCGGGAACTGCAGGCTCAGCGGGGACCTCACGTGACCACACGGGCGCCGCGTCCGCCGCCGGTTCCCATAGCCCCGGGAGGACCCCATACCGGCTCCCGCGGCTCCTCCCGCGTGTGGACGGCGGCCCTCGCTCACCATGGCGGATTCCAAGCTCGCCCCGCTCTCCCCACAGCTCCCGACCGAGGGTCACAGCGCAGAACACACGGAACACGATAGTCTCCCTCAGATCTGGCGCCACGGAGCGCGCCGCATGGCGGACCGGAAGTGACCGCCCCATTTTGCCATTTTGACTGGCAGTCCGCCTGGAAGCCCTGATTGGGTAGTGTGATCTGAGTGACAGAAAGAGCTGGGGCGGAACAGAGAGAGATAGAAAGGGAGTGGGAGGTGGGAAGAGGGGGAGAAGGAAAAGAGAGAGGGAGAGAGAGAGAGAGAGAGAGAGAGAGAGAGAGAGAGAAAGAAAGAAGACTGAGGTAAGGTACTGAAGCAATTTTATGAGAATGTCCATGAACTCAGGGGTTGCCCAGTAGGGCCAGAGTTAAGTGTCTGGTCTGGCAAGGCAGCCTGCGGGGTGAGGTGCAGGAATCCCACCAGACTTGCTAGACAGAGAAGTGTGGTATCTTGAACTTCTGAAGGGACCAGCCACCTGCCCTCAATTCTGATCCCCTTCTGGGGATTTTAGGACCCATTTTGGGGGCATTTGTGAGGTTTTGCTATAAAAATGAAAAGGACAAAGGAAACTTGTCTGTTTCTCAGGCCAGCTGTGAAAACATGCCATTATTTTTATTTTTGTAAATACCAAGTTTGATTAAAAATGCACCAGAAATATCCAGTCTCTTAAACTATAATTTTGTAGAAAAGACAAATCACTGTAAAAACAGAATTTTAGTCAACTGAACCCTATGGAGTCAAAGTTAGTTTTTTACTTAATAACTCCAAACTTAATATAGAACCTTATAATAGTCAGATGACCAAATTATACATATTTTGCTGCCTGCTTTACATATGAGACAACAGATTTATATTTCTTTCAATTCTGCATTTCTAGTGAAAATTAAGTAGGTCACATTAGAATAAGAATTTTTACATCATGTTCCTAGTGTTTCATTTTCTTTGTGAGAGTCTCACTCTGTAGCCCTCGCTGAACAGACCTCACTATGCAGACCAGGCTAGCCTAACAGTCATAAAGATCAGTTTCCCTCTGATGCAGAGAGCTCAGATTAAAGGCCTGCCCGACTTCTATTCATTCTGCACATTTATTAATGAAATAAACAGAAGCCTGGTATGGCACACAACTGAGCTCTGTCCTGAGGACATTGTACCAGGGAGACCACTGTGAGAGTTAGGCAAGCCTGGGATATAAGTGAGACCCTTTCTCAAACGGTGAACACGTGCAGCTGCTGCCACCCCAGCATTTTGGTCACTAGTGTCCTGGAGTCCACGTGGGACTATGGCACCCTGGCCTTTGCCCCAAGTCCACAGACCACTTTAGACATCTCTGTGTGGAGTCCATGACGGTGGTGATGCAGAGCTCACAGCAGGGACAATGGCAGGAAGAGTCGGAGTCCAGCTGCTCTGCTGCTGTGCTCCACTACTTTGGGGAGGAATTGCATCCCGTGTCCTGCTTGCAGGCCTTCCACTGAGGAGTCCTTAAAGCCATGCTAATGTGTGACTGGCATGTTCAGCCTGTCACACTACATGACTTCTGGCTCAGGTGTGGGAGCCCATGTTTGACTTAGTTTCCATGTGGAGTCATTTCTGACTTAAAGAAGTCATTTAAGTTCAAGTTTGCCTGTCCCGCGCTACCGTCTCGCCAGCAAGAACGACGCGGGGCACTTAGGATACTTCTGCAGTAAAGCTTTAATGCCTCTTGAGAGGGAGAATATCAGCTTCCAAGGCGGAGACCCAGAATGAGGGGAACCCAGCCCTTATAAAGGAAACAGTCCTCGCTTCTGACGTGTCACTCTTGAATCGGTCCACTGCCCATTATCCCAGATGATGCCTCGGGAGTAGGCAGGGACGCAGCGGTAGAGAGTTACAAAGCACGTGCGCTGGGATTAAAGGCGTGTGCTACATCACCTTGAACTCACAGAGATCTGCTTGTCTCTGCCTCCCAGACATTGGGACCAAAGGCGTATACTACCACGCCTTGAGGTCACAGAGGTCAATCTGCCTCTGCCACCCAGGCATCAGGACTAAAGGCGTGTGCCGCCACACCTTGGGGTCACAGAGGTCAATCTCTACCTTTGTTCCTAGAAGCAATGGAGAATGTGGTCCGGCCCTCCACATTTGCCTGCTCTACTTTTTCCAGTAACCTTGAGGGCTGAAAGGAATGTCTGTGTCAGTTCATAAAAAGAGTATTTTTGCCCAGATGAAAGAGCGCATTTTTCTATTAAGATCTGAACTGGTGTGTGCCAGCCAGAGGCACTCTTCGCTAGAGATTAGAAGTTGTTTAGCTGAGTGAGATAGTGCACCTGCTTGAGCTTCCTCCCAAGTACAGTACAGGGAGGTGGGCAGCTGACTGGACTGCCCTTTCTTCTGCCTTCTGACTGTACTTAGTATATATGCTGGCTGAGAAACAAACTTGGGGCTGATTGCTAGTTACCTTCAGTCCTCCAGGATAGACCTGTGTTTCTGTCTTCATTTCTCTTAATCTGCCATTTCCTACAGCCTTGCGCCCCCTCCCAGGTATCCCTTGCTGATGCCTGTCTGAGTGGGCTCTGACACCCAGGTAATCTAGTTTTCCACGAGTATCTCATTTGTACCTGAACTTGGAAAATGACAGGTGCAGTCACATGCTAGTGCTGATTACAGAAGTGGTTGGCCAGTCATGGACAGCCCCTGGATATGTTAGAGGTGCATGTGGTATATTGTCACAGCACGTAAACAATTCTTTAAAAGATTGGCATGCAGAAGGTAATGGGTGACTGAAGATGGCTTTCCCTTCCCAGATGACCCTGATGGGGCCAAAAATCTTCACTTCCAACTCTCTGAGCATCTGGCAGCTTTAAAGCATAAGCTTATTCTTGATAGAGGTTTCTGTTTTGCCCAATCCTGCAGCCATTCATCCCCAAAAGAAACACACAGAGGTCTACATTAATTATAAACTGGTTGGCCTATTAGCTCAGGCTTCTTATTAACTCTTCAACCTACATTCACCTATATTTCTTGTCTGCAGACTGAGTCTTTCTTTTTTCCAGAATTCTCCTGTTCTCATCGCACCACCTCTGCTTCCTGCCTGGCTTTTGGAACGTGCAGCCTGAACCATAAAATCTTAAGTCAATATCTAGTAAAGGATACTGTGAAAGTAGGCTGCTTAGGAGCCAATGCTACCTGTTAATCAAAGTACATGATATAGAGATTGAGGCAGCAATGCCCGGATTCTCACAAATGCAAAGGGCAAAGAGCCGAACACAGAAAACATCAAGGCAAAGTCACCGCCCATCACTGTGGATGCCGTTCTGAGATGAACGTCTCTATTGTGTTTGTCTAACCTCAGAGCAAGGCTGATTTGCCTCTGAGCAGACCTACGACTTCCATGCCATACCAAAAAGAGATCTCTCTAAATAGCTCTGACTGCTGGCTGGCTTGGGATAGTGTCATCGTTATAGAGAATTCCATTCTCTTATTTAATTTGAATTTTATTTTTATTCATTTTCATTAAAATGTAACTGCATCACTTTTCTCCTTCCCTTTTCTCCATTCATCCCATCCTTTGTTCCCTCCTTCCATCTCCTTCTCTGCCTCCCAAATTTCAAATTGATTGTCTCCTTTTCTTTATTCTGATGCATGTGTAAGATTAAATATGCACACTTATCAATGAAGCCTGCTAACCATGCTTTTGTAGTTTGCCTGCATTATTTTAGGGCTGACCACTTCGTTTTATACAATAACCAAGTAGGGAGCTCATCCATGCTGGAGGCAGGAGAAGTCCTCTCTTTAATGGCCAACAGGAGTCTGACCTCTAGTGACCTAGGCTGCCTAGGACAGGGAACATAGTCTAGAATGGAGAACTTGGTCTGGAGTGACAGCTCAGCAGTTAGGCGCACAAGCTGCTCTCCCAGAGGACCCAGGTTTGATGCCCAGGATGACATGGCAGCTTTCAACCGTGATGTAACTCCAGTTCCAGGGTATGTGACTACCGACCAGGCCTCCCGGGACACTGAGCTTGTACCTGGCACACAGACCAGTGTACAGGTAAAGATCACTATAGATGAGACAATCATTTTAGAAAAAGAAAATAGAGTCAACTCAAACCACAAACCTTCTTTTTCCAGATGGGCATGGAACTCCATATCTTTAATCCAACCACTCCAGAGGCAGAGACAGGAGGATCTCTGCAAGTTCAATGCGCAGAGTTTAATGCCAGGCAGATCTTTATCATCATATTTAAAAGTACATTTTTGGAAAAAATGTCCAGGGTAATAATCAGTTCAATCAGTCCAATACAGGTGCACAATAAAGTTTAAGCTGTCACTACATAGAAACTCTTTGATAAAGTACATGTGACCATGAGGGTAGGTTCTGTAGCTCATAAGGCCCAGAATCCACCATGGTCTCTGACCAAGCTTGTGTAGCAGGCCAGAGCACACGTGACATCTCCCCTAAAGACTAGTGGTTCAGAGAGAAACGTGTCTAGAATAATCTTTCTGGGGAATTTGGGTGAAGACTCTCTCTATAGCAAAAGATGGGTGAGGTCTGCCTCCATGGATAGCAGAAAGGTCACCAGGTCATTAACAAAAACCACTTTCTGTTTTCTGAAGACTGCAGGTATTTGATTTATCTCCTCCACTGAGGAGACACCTCTCTGTGATTAACTTTCCTGCTTCTCTTAGTATTTTCCTGCTAGTACAAGGCCCTCGTGCCCTCTCCGACAGATGTACTGTGGAAAGTTTTTATCTACAGTCTGACCTCACTGTGGGTGGGCTACAGCTTGTATGATAGCACTGCTTCTGCTGTTTAATCTTTGTATTCTAACTGACATTCATTTATTTGTGTATGTGGGTGCACATGTGCCTCAGTGCATATGCCTCAAAGTCGGGATAGCTTGTGGGAGTTATAGGTGGGCGAGCGGGGTATATGCATGTGCACACCTGCACACACCACAGTGTGCAGTGTGTAATCAGGGGACAGCTCACAGGACATATTTACTTTGTGTTTTGATTTTACAAGACGCCACATTCAAGACATTGCCTTGATTTTCCGAAGAAACTTTATACACTGTAACAGCGTTGGGACTGTTACACGATACGAAGATCTTATAAGTTCTGCTGCAACGCCAGTGTCTGCAGGCCTGGGGCACTACTACTGTGTCAGGGGTGGAAGCCAGGGCTGGGAAACACCGTGCTGAGCCCCTTCACAGCACTAGGTCCCTAAGGGAGCTACTCCTGTCACTCAGATCACACTAGCCAATCAGGGCTCCCAGACGGACTGCCAGTCACAATGGGGTGGGCACTTCCGGTCCGCCATGCTGTAGGCTCGCGTCTTCGGGACTGAGGGAGACTCTTGTGTTCTTTGTGCCGTGCTGTGACCCTCTGTCGGGAGCTGTGGGGAGAGCGGGGCGAGCTCGGAATCCGCCATGGTGAGCGAGGGCCGCCGTCCCCACGCGGGAGGAGCCGCGGGAGCCGGTGTGGGGTCCTCCCGGGGCTCTGGGAACCGGCGGCGGACGCGGCGCCCGTGTGGTCACGTGAGGTCCCTAAGGTTCCTCGCTGTGCCTGCAACTCCCGGGTCCTGTGGACTCTGAATATCTGCCATCAGGGGCAGCGCCTGCACAGAGCAGGGGACAGGTGGATTGTGTGATGATTTGTTCTTATTGCTGACGTCACCATGCTGTTCACACGTCCGAGCATCTGTCGTCTTTGTTGTGCAATGGCAGATTCGCAAACTCGCAGAGCCCAGAAGTTCTGCACTTGGCACTGAACATTCCAATTTTGGATCCGTCTGCAGTTCATCTGTGCTTAGTGTAAAGTCTGTGTTATTAACGTCTTTGCATGTGGATGCCAGGGTGGTTCAGTCACGTGTGTTAATAAGGCCAGACTCACTGGCCTCATGTGTCAAAGTTGATTATATTAATTGTGTCTTTATTTCTAGGTTTTCTCTTGATCTCTCTATTCTTTCCAAACAGTAGTTAGAATGTTCTAAAACAGCTAGTGTTGCATAATGAGAGTCCATCTCAAAAAACCTTAAAGATAGGTATATCTGTGTACTTTTTTTATTTTTATTTTTGAGTCAAGTTCTTTCTGCCTGATATAGGTTATGAAACTAAAATTGAGTTCCCTGCAAAAGCAATATATGCCCTTAATAGCTGAGCCATTTCTCCAGCCAGAGATCCAAGCATTAAATCTCTGTAAATTTAAAACAACAGGTTTACTTTTTCAAACATTTAAAAGTTGATCCATTTATCAATATCAAAACATTTAAATAAGTATGTGGATTATCTTTATGAGAAAAATAAATTCACATGATACACTTGTAATCTTCAAAAATTATGTTCAAAAGAGTAGTTTCCCTAAAATAAAACCTTTAATGTTTGTCACCATTGTTTATATCTAATTTTTTGAGACTAGGTCTCGCTGTGTAGTCCTACCTGCTCTTGAAGTCACAGATTTATATGCCTCTGCCTCCCAAGGGTTAGGATTAAATCATAAGCCATCATGCCTGTCCGCATTTATAATCTCTATTTACATTTACATAAAATATAATGGGTTAATAAGAAAAAAATTGCCTTCTAGATCTCAAGTAAATACTCTGTCTTAATATCATGCTTCTTTTTAACATTGACTGGGACTTTGACTATAGGTTTTATTTCTATTTCTGTTGAGCTTTATTCTTTTGTTTTATTATTGTGCATGCCTGCATGAATGAATATGCTTGCCTTCTTTCTCTATGAGTTATAGGCAAGTGAGCCAACTGACCTTTGTGTTGGGAGCCAGGCTCGGGTCCTCTGTAAGAGCAGCACATGGTCTTGACAGCTGAGCTGTCTCTGCAGGCACTGCAGGTTTCTGAAGCTGAGCCAGTGCTGTTGGAAGATGGTTTTACTTTTCTAATGAGAACTTGGCAACCAAAGCACATCCGCTCAGTGCGCTCTCAGAAAAGAGCAGGAGTCACTGTAGAATTCTTGGTCATGGTTATTATGGCTGTGTTCATGTTCACAAGTAAGATGGTGTAAATAAAAAGCTTGTGCTTTGAAATTGCCAGATATTTGAGGTGCTGGAATGTGAAGATACTTGACTCCAGCAGTCATGAGGGAAGGGAAAGCTATCTTCATCCACCCATCCATCACCTCTGCTTCCTGATGTTTTTATCAATTGTTTACACGTTGTGACAATAGTACTACATGCACCTTGGGCCCAGCCATGAGCTGTCAGTAACTATCCAGACATTATGTAATTACCAGTATCATGTGTCTCCACCTTCTATTTTGCAAGTACGTGCAGAAATAAATGTAGTACATGTATCTTAGTCCGCGTTAAATAGCTCTCGTTCACTTCCTCCTCTGAAGATAACGTGCAAGGACTGTTCAGTGTCATCTCTCCTTCTAGAGTTTTGAATAGATTGGTTAGTGCATAGTTAGGCAGTAGACATTTTGGTTTAGCTGAAATGTCACTAGAAATACCATGCACAGCTCATGAGTCTGGGAAAGAATTGCTAAGTGAACTCCTCTTTCCTGATAGAATCCTAGCTTCTGTGTGTTGTGAAGTTAGCATTTTCTTTTTTTGTTTTTCTTCTTTTATTTATCGATTTTTATTGAGCTTTACATTTTTCTCTGCTCCCCTCCCTGCCTCTCCCGTTCCCCCTTTTCCCCTCCCCCAAGGTTCCCATGCTCCCAATTTACTCAGGAGATCTTGTCTTTTTATACGTCCCATGTAGATTAGATCTATGTAAGTCTCTCTTAGTGTCCTCATTGTTGTCTAAGTTCTCTGGGATTGTGGTTTGTAGGTTTTTTTTTTTGTTTTTTGCTTTCTGTTTAAAAACCAATAATGAGTGAGTACATGTGATAATTGTCTTTCTGTGTCTGGGTTACCTCACTCAAAATAATGTTTTCTAGCTCCATTTTCCTGCAAAATTCAAGATATCATTTTTTTCTGCTGTGTAGTACTCCATTGTGTAAATGTACCACATTTTCCTTATCCATTCTTTGGTCGAGGGGCACTTAGGTTGTTTCCAGGTTCTGACTATGACAAACAAAGCTGCTATGAACATAGTTGAGCACATGTCCTTGTGGCACGATTGAGCATCCTTTGGATATATACCCAAAAGTGATATTACTGGGTCTTGAGGGAGGTTGTTTCCTAATTTTCTGAGAAATCGCCACACTGCCATCCAAAGGGGCTGTACCAGCTTGCATTCCCACCAGCAATGCAGAAGTGTTCCCTTTTCCCCACAACCTCTCCAGCATAAGTTGTCACCAATGTTTTTGATCTTGGCCATTCTTAAGGTGTAAGATGGAATCTCAGAGTTGTTTTGATTTGCATTTCTCTGATGACTAAGGATGTTGAACATTTCCTTAAGTGTCTTTCAGCCATTTTAGATTTCTCTGTTGAGAGTTTTCTGTTTAGGTCTGTACTCCATTTTTTTTATTGGATTATTTGTTCTTTTGATGACCAGTTTCTTGAGTTCTTTGTATATTTTGGAGATCAGACCTCTGTCTGATGTGGGGTTGGTGAAGATCTTTTTCCATTCTGTAGGCTGTCATTTTGTCTTGTTGACCGTGTCCTTTACTTTACAGAAGGTTTTCAGTTCCAGGAGGTCCCATTTATTAATTGTTTCTCTCAGTGTCTCTGCTGCTGGGGTTATATTTAGGAAGTGTTCTGCTGTACCAATGTGTTCAAGTGTACTTCTTACTTTCTCTTCTATAAGGTTCAGTGTGGCTGGCTGGCTTTATGTTGAAGTCTTTGATCCATTTGGACTTGAGTTTTGTGCATGGTGATAGCTATGGGTCTATTTTCATTCTTCTACATGTTGGTATCCAGTTATGCCAGCATCATTTGTTAAATATGCTTTCTTTTTTCCATTTGATATTTTTTGCTTCTTTGTCAAAAACCAGGTGTTCAAAGATGTGTGGATTAATATCCGGATCTTCTATTTGGTTTCATTGGTCCTCCTATCTGTTCTTATGCCAATACTAGGCCGTTTTCAGCACTGTAGCTCTGTAGTAGAGTTTGAAGTCAGGGATTGTGATGCCTCCAGAAGTTCTTTTATTGTACAGTTCTTTTATTGTTTTGTCTATCCTGGATTATTTGCTTTTCCATATGAAGTTGAGTACTGTTCTTTCAAGGTCTGTGAAAAATTTTGCTGGGATTTTGATGGGCATTGCATTGAATCTGGAGATTGCTTTTGGTAAGATTGCCATTTTTACTATGTTAATTCTGCCTACCCAAGAGCACGGAGATCTTTCCACTTTCTGGTGTCTTCTTCAATTTCTTTCTTCAAAGATTTCAAGTTCTTGTTATACAAGTCATCCACTTGTTTGGTTAGAGTTACTCCGAGATATTTTATGCTATTTGTGACTATTGTGATGGGTGTTGTTTCTCTGATGTCTTTCCTAGCCCTTTTATCATCTGTGTACAGGAAGGCTACTGATATTTTTGAGTTAATCTTGTATCCTGCTACATTGCTGAAAGTGTTTATGAGTTGTAGAAGTTCCATGGTAGAATTTTTGGAATCACTTATGTAAACTATCATATCATCAGCAAACAGTGAGAGTTTGACTTCTTTTCCGATTTGTATCCCCTTGATCTCCTTTGGTGTCTTATTGCTCTAGCTAGGACTTCAAGAACTATATTGAATAGATATGGAGAGAGTGGACAACCTTGTCTTGTTCCTGATTTCAGTGGGATTGCTGGGAGTTTTTCTCCATTTAGTTTGATGTTGGCTGTTGGCTTACTGTATATTGCCATTATTATGTTTAGGTATGTTCCTTGTATCCCTGCTCTCTCCAAGACCTTTATCATGAAGGAATGTTGTATTTTGTCAGAATCTTTTTGGCATCTAATGAGATGATCATGTGGTTTTATTTTTCCATTTGTTTATATGGTGGATTACCTTGATAGATTTTTGTATGTTGAACCATCCCTGCATCTGTGGAATGAAGCCGACTTGATCATGGTGGATGATGGTTCTGATGTGTTCTTGGATTCGATTTGCCAGTATTTTATTTAGTATTTTTGCATCAATGTTCATGAGTGAGATTGGTCTGTAATTCTCTTTCTTAGAAATGTCTTTCTGTGGTTTGGGTATCAGAGTAATTGTAGCTTCATAAAAAGAGTTTGACAATGTTCCTTCTGTTTCTGTTGTGTGGAATAATTTGAGGAGTATTGATATTAGTTCTTCTTTGGAAGTCTTGTAGAAGTCTGAGCTGAAACCATCTGGTCCTGAGCTTATTTTTGGTTGGGAGACTTTTGATGACTGTTTCTATTTCTTCAGCAGTTATAGGTCTGTTTAATTTGCTTATCTGGTCTTGATTTAATTTTGGTAAGTGATATTTATCCAAAAAGGTATCAGTTTTCTTTAAGTTTTCCAATTTTGTGGAGTACAGGTTTTCAAAATATGACCTGATGATTCTCTGTATTTCCTCCATGT